TTTCCTGCACAAAATTCATTTCGAAAAGACCAAGGAAAGCTCATGGATACCTTCCAAGTTGGAGTGATGATCTTAGCAAGTTGAAAAGAACCTAAGCCATATTTCTGCAACTTACAATCACAGTCGGCGAAAATAATGTTCGGGCTCTTGCCACCGAGTTCTAGCGTCACTTTTTTCACATTGCTTTGTGCAGCTGCTTCCATTACAAGTTTTCCAATTTCCGTGGACCCAGTAAAAGCAACTTTGTCGATTCCCATATGTTCGGTGATAGCATTACCAACGATTGGTCCAAATCCGGTAATGAGGTTAAAAACTCCAGGAGGAAATCCTGCCTACACATGAAAGTTCTTGTAAGATTTCAACAGAAGTTTATGTTATTAGAAACCTCCTTGATAAGGCTTGCTACATGAAGTGCTGAGAGAGGTGTTTGCTTCGCGGGTTTCATGACCACGACGTTTCCCATAGCAAGGGCGGGTCCGAGTTTCCATGCTTGCATCAGAAGTGGGAAGTTCCACTAGAAGCACAGCGTTTCACACAGCCCAGTGTTGTTGACTTTGAAAATTTAATTTCATTGTTTCTGATAGTCATGACGTAGGTCAAACAAATTTTGTTAAATTTTTTGCGCTTGGAAAATCGATCAGATTCTATACACCTTGTAAAATTAATGCAGCATCGTTTAAGATGCTATTCCAAAGAAGAAGGTAGGCATGAATTCTCTTCAACAAGTAAACGTTTTCTGGCAACTTTTTCAGGAAGAAGTTCCTCATGCACTACTGTTATGTTTCTTATGTTCATTGTTCTCTATGTTATGCGGTTATGTTATGTTCATTGTTCTCTATGTTATGTTTATGTCATGTTCAGAACGGAAACTTTACCGTTCACAAAAAACGATATGTTCCATGATTTACTTATACGCAAACAGAAAGAAAGCAGAATAGAGCACTAAAAGACGTGAAGCACACAACGAGCAACAATAATAATGCTAGTATATTCATCTCTAGCAGGCAGCAAACTGCTTAGAGTGGAGCTGCGCTATCATTCACAATTTCCTTTTGGGAAAAGTGAACACATTGAGCGAAGGGAGATGCTTGAGGAGGCTTCCTCACTATTATTAGTTTTTTGATAAGCAAAATTTATGTAAGGCCAGCTTGAACGTCGGCGATGTTAATAAATACATAAGTGTGTGAGCAAAGTCTAGCGCCAAATCTTGTCGGCTCAACTAGCAATCAGCTGGAATGGTTCCTAAGAAAAGCATGCATACTCTGATCCTAGTTTAACATGATCTTCTAACAATTGTGATCTTGATCTTTCGATCTCCGCACGTGTACGATAAGTGAGTCTATACAGGGAGCTCAAAATAAGTGCCACTATTGCAAAAAACGACTTGGAAATATAAGCTCAAAGTCTATATAAGCTAAAAGTCCATAAGTTTTAGATCGCTTTAATCAAACTCTACAAGGTACATTTTAGAGGATTCAAAAAATCTTCAACAAAAAATGTGGGAGATAAAAGAATAAAGAGTTTTTTCGAGAGTGGTTTTGAGAAAACCACAAGTGGATTTTCTAAATCTTTGTATTTTGCTTTGTAGCCAATTGACACTAACCTTTCAGATCCATTCCAAGTATCCGCGTACGAGCAACACTCTTATGTTCTTATGTTTATTGTTATGCTCTTATGTTGGAGCACCCTGTAGAGTTTGAATACTAATAAGGTGTCCCATTCTTTTTTATCGTTTTTACTCTAAACATCAGCATTTTTCGGGAACTGTGACACATACAATCAGTACAAATACATGATTGTACTTCTGTATGTATGAGCAATATGATCACATGCGTAGGAGGAGCTTACGTTTGAAGGCGGAGCTTGCCATTTCTTCCATCATTTTCACGTTATTTCTAACCACGAAATATTGGAATTGTGTTTGGAATTTTTTGGAATTTTTCGCAACAAATTTCCGCTCAAAACTTTATATGGAATACGATTTGAGCAGACTCTTGATAAAGATGATTAATCAAGTCACATCCTTCGAAAGAAAGATGCAACTATAACGGTTGTATAAAAAAGGTAAAAATTTAGGGACACTCTAATTTATAGCCTGTTTCCGATGAATTTGGCTTCACAGCTTTTTTTCGGATAGACACGATTCCGTCGTGAACCAACCCTTTCATAAGAAAACGACAACAATAGTGGAATTCTATGCGTAAATCGACTTAATGCCGTATGAAAACAGTTTTGATGGTCAATTCTCGCAACTACAAGACGTACAAGGCTGCCATAGCGCCACTATGGCTGATGAATTCAGGATTCGATTTAATCCCTGATTATCAACTCTTAAACTTTCAAACTTTATTTGACTCTAATTTGCACAAACATGTATTCCAGTCATTACATCTCCTGATAAGGTAAAATATATACTTCGTTTCGGAAGTAAAAATGACTCTAAATTATCTTACGAACTGCTGAGGAAGGCCTTTTTTATAATCTGACAGTTACAGAACTGTAATATTCTACCCATATCTTGTG